TWKTKKYYTTTGTATGATGAATGTTCTGGTTGAGTGATAGCAACTATTAGTCACTAAATAGATATTATTAGTTAGTATTTAGTTTGATTTTATTTCACGGTTTAATTGCATCCGCTCTACCTTGAATCCTTCTATTAGCCATATCTCGGTTGAGGAAAAAACTGGATAAAAGTTGGGATTACAATGCATCGGATCTATATTAGAGGACATATTTCTAAGATGGCGGCYATTTTGTTCCCTAAAACAGCCCACAATCCACTGCAATGGCAACTCCACCCAGTTTTTCTTCGACCTCGGAATGGCTAATTGACCTCACATAAATTTGCAAAAAAAATTCCACAATGGAAAATAGCAGAACATCTTGTCATTCTTCTAGAGATTGATCTCTCAGTTGCCCATCAGAATAAACTAATTTCCAAACTTTCAGAGCGATGGAGGAGGCAGTGAAGATGAGGAAGAAAGTGAATACGCACCATCAGAATCTGTGGACGAAGCATCGGAAGAAGAGAGCTTTTCGTCAGAAACTGAGACATCAGAAGACGCTTCAGGTATGTGATTCTTAGTACTGCTGAGACTTAAGGTTCAAAGGACGTCAACTAGAAAATTGCGCAACTTAGATTTTGACTATGGAAGATATTGGCTACTATAAGGGGCGAGGTCAAAACAATCGTCCAAAATAGGTACCGGGTAACACCACCCCTTCCCCCTAAATCGGGTACCGTGAGATGACAGTTGTTTTGCCCTCATCCCTAATGAAGCGTGCGTCTGGGTGAGCCGTATACTGAGTGCTGGCCATTTCCAAACCAACTATAGACACAGTAGAACATCTATTTAGCAACCAGTTATCAAAGTACCAATGATGGATCTGGCGCGAAAATTACTCAGTACCCCTTCATTAAGCGACCACCTGACGATTCTCCGAGAGTGGTCRCATAATAGAGGTTAAATTGAGTGTACTAATATAGATTGTCTTTTCATTTTAAAAGATTTTGAAGAAGAATTGGGAAGCGAAGAGGAAAGTGGAAAAGATTGGTCAGAATTAGAGGAAGAAGCCTTAGAAGGTAATTATCAATCCCACTTGGTTATGGCTTATGTTAAGCGATAAAACTTCACTTAAGGCCGACTGATCAAATTGAGCTGATCCTCGCAGTATATCAAGCAACTTATACAGCTGCGAATTGAAAGACTCAGAAAAAATTGAACGGGATTTGAAACCGTGCCCTGGCGATTCCGGCGCTATGCTCTAACCACTAAGCTCCCAAGTAGGACTTGATTATTATCAAGTTGTACCCAATTCCCTTGTTTGTAATAACGCTGTTGATACTTGATCTTCTCACAGCTGACCGAGAGAAAGTTGGTTACCCAGACAACGCGCCGAAACAAAAGAAGCGAAAGAAAACCTCGCATAGTAGCCCTGCAAACAAGAAACGAAGGCGTCGCTAAAACAACCAACCAAACAGCGCACATCTTGTATAGTACAATGGTTTTAAGAGCTCCTCTCCTTACTGCATGTCCCATCTTGCCTTTGATCAGACAGCCATGTCCATGGTCTTGTAACAGTGTGCCCTACATTGAGGCGGTACGCGCATGAGATATCTAGACACCCTTAACTTTCATTACTAGAAAGATGTCAGTCACTGTACAGATCTAGAAGATATATGCATTAACACCAATAAATATGGGACAGTTTCGTCATTGGCTTTGAGGGATTCGGTCCTTTGTGCTATGAGTATGTTGAGTAGAGAAAATCGATTCTATTAGAAAAGATTAAGCGGTCGCTATAGAAACAAGAATATTTTCCCACTTTGTCTATGTTGAACCTCTGAACCTCTCCACAAGCCATTACCCATGCTCCACGGACAGTTTACCACAGGGTGACCGTAAGTCTTCCGTAGCAAAGCAAGTACAATACATCGGCTCTACTTCGCGTACTCTCTGCTACAAGCCAGTAAAGATCCACAAGGTATAGCAAGCTGTACCTCGTCCCCAGGCTTCTCTTCGCTGTTTGGCATGACGTGAGGTGACTATAAAGCGTCCGCCATTTTGGATTTGGGAGAGCTGACAAGTAGCCTGGGGACGAGAATAAGCAAACTGTTTCATTACATTTACGGATAATAAACTTGATGTCTTTCGGATAAGGAAATGCACGGTATTGTGGTAGTCAATCTGCGTTTAGTTATAAACACGTCTTGTGTAAGAAATTCGAAACATCCAAAAATGGCCTGGTGCGCAAGCGTGTCCGACACTAGCAAAACCAACATGTGCACATGCGCAGAAATAAATACAAAAGTCGAAGGAAACCTGCCCTGTCCTGTTCCACACACAAGCAATATAAAACGTTTCAGTCAAGTCTGCCTCTAAGCAGCGCGCCCATTGAAAACATTTCCACTGAATTTTGTTTTGTTATGATTTACGAGTCTGATTAATTTTGGCGCCACTTCCGCTTACACCTGGAGCGTTCATGGTCAGTTACGCATGTACAGTTTGATCCCAGACAGTAAGGGTACCTTGTAGACACAATGACGTCACAAGACAAGTCTGCATTAAGCTTCGCATACATACTAATTAGTATATCGATGGGGACAGTGCTGTTATGTCTAATAACGATTTAAGGCGCGATAACACGGAGCAATTTTCTCTGCAACTTGTCTAGTAACGGTGTTGCGACACAAGTTGCATGGAGCATTGCAGCGTCTAACCTACAGCGCAGTTTAAAAAAATGTTGCAAGACAAGTTGCAGCTATTGTGAAAACGTAGAATTGGTTTCTACTTTTGGCAACGATTGCGTCTCCGTTGCACCGTATAGACAGACACTCATTGCAACTTCTTTGCGGGACAAAGTGCAGAGACTGATTGCTCCGYATAATCGCGCCTTTAAGCTTGATACGTGGTCGGTAGATTGAATCGCATTTGACTACTCATTTCCTTTACTCTTTAACCTGTTATTGGCACTTTGATTTTATCTTCAAAAACGGTTTCATCTTAAACAACGAAAATCCATTGCATTGTCGTGTAATGAATTCCGTGTTGTGGTTACCACAAATATTGAAACGATTCGCATCATGATATCGATCGTGTCTGGTCTCGTTCCCCTGTACTGAAGTCAAACAGCTTGAACTTTTATATCCATTAGATATAAAGTACGTGATCGAAGTAGAGTGCAAACAATCCGTGAAGCACTAATTACTAAATAGTACAAAATAGTGCTAATTAAACAATAGAAAACAATGGAATTTRCATGAAATTGTACTATTTAGTATTACTAAAGTTTCACGGTTATATTGTTTGCACTCTAGGCCATATATCCGTAAAAAACTTTGTAAGAAATTAAGTAAATTTCGTAGACCTACAAAACTTTGCACTAATTGGTACATTTTTTAGTTAATTTTTTTTTTCATGGATATATTTTATGCACTCTATTAAACGTGCGACCCCTTGAACGAAAGAGATGGGAGTTTATCATTCCGTTCGCCCTTCAGTTCGTGTTGCTCTATAGGAAAGCACCGTATTTAGTGAGCGTTGGTATTTTATGAATAGGGGGGATTTCATTTTAGGAGTGCCCCCTACTCATTCAAACAAAATCGTTACTGCAGCAAATGGCTAGCCCTCCCAAATCCCCATTGCCCCCCGCCTACATATAAATCATGAACGTTCCCTCATTAATGTACTTAGAATTTAACGAGTCGTTGGCTTTCCTTTGCTGATGATTCGCGCGCTTTCATGGGAGAAAGGTCAGCGTTTATGAGGAAACGATTGTAATTTTTTTTGGCCAACGCACAAGCAATAGAGAGACCGATCCTCGGGTTGGATGGTTAATGATGAGACATCCTGTGGGTCACGATTAGCCCCTCTTCGTGGCTTGAATTTCAGGCCCCTGGACTCGACTACACGTGTACTTTAATTTTAATATTCAGTTTCCAGGGGGCAAGATATATCATTAATTATCACGGCTGGGTAGCTGTTGACTGCCTTTATCAGCTCACCACAAACTGATTTAACAAAACGATCCTGCTATTCTATGGAAGATACGTGTACAGAGGCGAGAAAAAAGGAATCTGTGACGATGACAGTTGAAGACAAACCTTTGTCTATGCTTTCATGGGGGAGCGAGGCAATGCAGGATTATGTAAACGTGTACAAGAGGAAATGCTCTGAGAATAAAGACGAGCAAGCTGCGATATGGACCAGTATGTATGAGAAAAATTTGGGGAGAAAAGTCAGTGATTTGCCGCCATGGCTTGGCCCAAACGCCAATAGTCAACAAAAGTTTGGGGATCCTGAAAAGACTGACTTTGCGTCAATTCATAAAGCAAGAGCGGCTGAATCCTGTGAGGCGAATGCAACTGACTTCATGACAGCAGAACAGAGACGACATCATCGCAAAAAACATCGAAGCAGGCGATCTGGATCTGATGATTCTACAACATCTTCTCATTCAGATCACGACCAAGTGAGAAGTAATTGCTCCAGTTTTGATACTACAGAAGAAGAACAAAATGACCTATCACAATCAACCGAGGACTGAAAACAAGACAAATGTGACTTGTGCATGTTGGAAGTCGACATCGCAATCCAAAAATGACGTTTTCCCAGTGCTTTTTCTCAACCATGTAAGAGACTGTTTAGGGATATTTAATGTGAATATGATGTAAGATTGGATTGATTATTTGTTTTATAATAATACCCAAAGATTCATATATGTGATTGGCGATTTTGAATCATGAAATAATATTATCAATTAGATCATTAGATTCGCAGACATCAGCGTCGTCAGCTGATCACGTTATTGCACTATTTCGCTAAAAAATTCCCTCCTTTCCTCGGATCCTTTAGGAATAATCATTTCATTATTTGGCTGTAATTTTTATTTCCTTCCTTCAAAGAAATTTAAGACGATCTTAAAACATAATAACTTAAGCACCTACGTGGCAGACGTTGTAAGGCAAAGCATTTTTAAAAACAACTTCAATAAGAAAGCAAAAAAATATAAATTTAAGAAAATAATAACAAATAGAAAAGAGATAATGCCAATAATTCACAAAGTCTTGGCCTTTAGATTAATTGGTTAATGTATAGATTAGACACGCATAGACACATCTCCACTAGACGGTGTTGTCGATGAGAGAGCTCAATCAGGCTTAAAACCTGATAACAAACACAACAATTTTTTTTCGGTCCAATATAAGTCGTGCGTTCTGATTGGCTGCTCGAGCGTGCGGTATTTTCTATCTCTGACTGGCGGTTCGGTAAATGTTTTGCTGCATCTTGCTTTTGCTGCTAGTTTGAAATATATATATTCATATTCATATTGTCAATAATGTCAACAGGAGACAGAAAAACGTGCAGACAAAGTTTAAGGTCCTGTTACTTGTTGCGATGTTTTCAATCTTGATTATGCGTCTTCAAAATATGATTTCCATGTTCGGCTTGTCCACATGTATAGATTTCTAGACAGTGGAGCTTGCATGATTTAATCCGGAAATATCCTTGACAGCTATCTAATCAATAAAGATATTACTTCAGAAAGCAGCCACCTAAATGAGTTTCCCTTTCGTGCAAGGCATATTTTTTGACACCATTTTCCCATCGCAAGATGATCCCAATTTTCTTCCATAACTCTTTTATGCTAGAGGTTCCTAAAGGGGGTGGGAGCTGCCAATTTCATTTTCCACTCAATTTTTTTACGAATCTCATCTTACTTCCCAGCATCCAAATTCCAAACTTTTTTCGATACTGGTATTGTCCCATTCCCATTTTGTTGTTTTCCCCATTTTCAGTGAGTTTTAATCCTCACAAGACTCGACTAGCTAGGTTCCATTATAATCCCTAGATAAGACTAGTATTAGTTTAACATAAACGAATAGCATACAAACGACATTGCAGTGCAATGTGGGGATTTTTGAGCAAGTCGTTCATTTCGTCCCACAAAACAGTCCCACAATGCACTGCAATGCCAACTCGACCCAGTTTTCTCTCAACCTCGTATTAGTTAATCAGTATTCTCGACTTTAACATCCCCATAATCCTTTGCGTCTTTGGGGGGTAACCAGAAGGTAAAAACCCACCTATTT